ATCCCAAACAGTGATTTTTATCGCTAAATAAAATGGTGATCATTTCTGTGAAATAGTTATAAAATCCGACTTCAAATAACGAAGTGATGGGCCGGACACGATTTTGCTGCAAGGTCATGCTGTGACCTTGACCTTCAAGATAGCGACCCAAATGGTGCGCACGACACGTCGTCTTAATATGGTGATAATTTCTGTGAAATAGTTTTAAAATCCGACTTCAAATAACGAAGTTATGGGCCGGACACAATTTTGCTGCAAGGTCATGCTGTGACCTTAATTTTAAAGGTAGCGACCCAAATATTGCGCGCGAAACGTCTACCCAATATAGTGATCATTTCTGTGAAATAGTTTAAAAATCCGACTTCAAATAACGAAGTTATGGGCCGGACAAGATGTTGCTGCAAGGTCATGCTGTGACCTTAATTTTAAAAGTAGTGACCCAAATGTTGTGAGCGACACGTCGTCTCAATATGGTGATCATTTCTGTGAACTAGTTGCACAATCCGACTTCAAATAACGAAGTTATGGGCTGGACACAATTTTGCTGCAATGTCATGCTGTGACATTGACATTCAAGGTAGCGACTCAAATGTTGCGCGCGACATGTCGTCTCAATATGGTGATCATTTCTGTGAAATAGTTGTAAAATCTGACTTTAAATAACGAAGTTATTGGCCGGACACGAATTCGGGACGTACGTACGGACTTACGACTATATGCTCCCCCGAATAAGTTCAGATCTACTTATTTCTTTTATGTAGATCTGATAACGACCGTGTATGTTTCGCTTTCTTTATAATTCGGATTTCCCGAGAAACGTATTTTTAGCCATGAAATCAAACCGGTTTTACATATGCATTAGAAGAAGTATGAAAATACCGTTATCCGTGGAAGTTAAACACTTTTTTGTTAGAAAAACTGTTTGAAGTAATTTTTAACAAACTAGCTTGAAAACATAGAGTCAATTTGTAATGGGAAATATTGTTTTGTAAAAATTACCTACTCAGTATTGATTTTCCCGGGGTTAAAATTAAAAACCACATCGCTTTCAACACTATGAAAGCTCGTCGATGATTGGCTCAACAGAACTGGTTTCGAATATGGTCAGGGTCAGATTTAAAAGAGGAGAGCTATTAAGAGATGATTGTAATCAGATTGGGCATAGGTATATGATAACAAATGTCATGTGAAACACAATGGTATATATTATAAGAACAACTAGCTGCGGCAGAAACTATAGCTGTATAATACGAATAATGAGCATGAGCAAGAAATATGTTACGCCGGTCTTAACAAAATTTAACTTGATGTTGAAAAACTCAATACAATTCTATCTCAGAATAATTTACAAATAAGCATTTTTTGAACCAACTATAAACAATAACTATCAAACATTTACATCACATTTGTTGATTCAAATTTTGCAGTGTCTCTTTTATATTATTCATACATTTTTGACATTATAATAAATCCATTATTTATTGTCGTACCTAAATGATAGATGATGCCTTTTGTCATTTTCTGAACGTTATATATCGTCGCAGTGGTTTGGAATATAACTTATTACACGCCATATAAGCAATTTTTAGAATGCCTTCTTAAATTATTTGTCTTCACATGAATGATAGCACTTTTAAAACAAGGATTGAAAGGATTGAAACGAGATCTACACTACAAATTTTGTACAAAAGTTTGGCCGATCCGATGCAAAGCATAGCTAGCTAACACAACGATGTAATTAAAATTATTAATACTGATGTTCATGATATTGAATTATGTTCTCAATTAATTTACAAAATAAAACAAACCTTCACCGCCGACATTGACAATCAATTTACCATTAACATAAAAAAGAGACAAATTCAATCGATTCAAACAAGAAAGTAAAAAAACTTCATTCTTCAAACCAAATTCAATTGATAAACATAATAAAAAATGAATAAAATTTTACTATCGAATACAGCAAAATTTCCACATTTTCCACATTTTAGCCAACATTGACAATAAAAATTACGTAAATAAGTTTCCAATTTGTGAATTTAGATAAGGAAGCATAGATATTGTACTCTAATGAATTTAGTGTATTTTACTTCCGTTACCCCATAAAACTACTAAAGCTATCAATAATCAAATAAAAAATACAATCAAATACAATTCAGAAGTAAAAGAAAATTCAATTATGATTAAGCAAGAGCTTTCTGTGTTAGCTTATTTGCAGTTGCTGTAATTGATTTGACGGTTGTCGTATCTGGTCTTAGTTACATCCCCTTTTGTCCTAGTTTTTCATAACAATTTATCTGAGTATTTTTATATATTGCTCGTCCATGATTAAAATATTGCTTTAGAGTCTGATACTGTGTGTCGCACTTTGAAATGTACGTGAAATCAGGCCGAAGCTAGTTAAATGTTAATATGTTTGCAGTCTTATGGTTTATTTTTCCATGGTACATATAGTATATGCTTTGAATACAGGTGTAAAGTTACCCTAATTGCCGATCAAGAAATTCAAGGACAGTTAGTTATTTGATATCTAAATGTCTAAAGGCAGCTGCAAGCCTTCACGTTAATGAAAGGATTCAGACGAGTCCACAACTAAACTGTCATGGAAACTCATAAGCGTCTTTGTAAGAAGAGAAGACTATAGAAAATTGAATATGCCAATTGGAAATAATCGTCATTAAAAGTGTTTTATCGTTACACCTTGCAAGCAAACCTAGCTTAAGCAGAGTCAGATCAGTTTCAGGTACATGTACACTAAAATTATTTAAATCATAGTTTGGGCACCTTTCTGTTGAAAATACACATACATGCACAGTGCATTAACTGGAGTGCAGGTATCAGTTACACGCACTCTTAAGCATGGTTATTGATTGGCTTTTGTTTGGGGGGGGGGGGGTACATAATGTGACGGCAGAGAAAGGGATAACAATAAAAATGTCATATTCGAATGCACGTTAATTTGTTACCCTTTTCAGGGGTTTCATATTGTGACAATAGGAAGCGTGTTTTTATTTATGTAAAAAGAAAAAGAAAATCAAAACTCTCGGCAACCTGATTTATTCTCGGGGGACAAATCAGAAAGCCTTGTGTTCCGATGCTCTTTTTATTAGTTATTACAAATCATTTACTGAAGAACAACATGTACTCCTAAAATATTGTAAACAAGATCAACAAGGAAAGGTGGCGTTCAATGAACGCAAATAAATCCGCTATTTTACCGAGGCAAGTAAACTAGAGACCCCAGGTTTTTATCAAATATGTTTCCCTAGTTTGAATATTTTGTTTTTGTCTTTGTAAAATATGTACGTCTTTGTTTTTTATTTGTCTGGTCCTTCGGGATCATTGGTGCCAGCACTATTAAGTGTTGAGAATTGAGTACCGCTGAAAGCGGTACTAGGGGACGTGAGGGACATTTTATATATGTATCAAATTCTGACAAAGATCTTTCTTTGTTTAATTTTGGACAGACGCAGTTACATGAAAACAACCATTGAAAAATCCTATGTTTACATTTATTTTATTAAATATAATTGCTCCTCCGTTTCGAGGAAAATGAAAGTTAAAAAATGTAGATATCTTAGAGAAGATTAAGTGTAATTGTTAAATTTACAATGAAAAGCTTTAAACATTTCTCTTTAATAACTACAAATGTATATAAAATGGCAGTTGTAAAACATCCGTATTTATCTTACTATAACACATTGTATAGCAACAATTGTTTAAATCTTCAATCAGTCAGTAATTTGAAACAAGTTTTTTACCCAAAAATATATGTTTACTAGAGGTTATGGCACCATTGTATTATAGCGATCTATTAAGACAGTTGTCAATAACATACGAATAATTTATACGAGGTACGGCCAGTATGTAATGCAAAATGGAGTATATTTTCTAATTTATCTCGTGATCATTGTGTTTGTGTACACAATGATAGGCTTCAAAGCAGACTTTCACTAGCCCAGATAGCCTTTATCACAATGATATCGAAAGGATCAATTTGTACTGTTCTGAAGAATCATTGCAAATTTGGCGAAACAATGCTAGATGGATATCCCATTTGAGAGGAAGGATAAAAATTACTGAAAATGTTTTCCTAAATATGACAGTCGCCGTTTTTATAATATTGTGACTGACAAGTGATGAACGCTAGTAACACTTTTTACGCCAGTTTGCAAGGGTAACAATAAGATCTGGGCCATCACATACATGTATGTTCGTCGACCATAAATTGCCGAGCGATTGACAAGTTTCAAGAAAGTTATGTAAGTTACTTTTTCAATACCCATGAAACCAAATGCCTGTTTCTTAAGTATTATAGTAATATCTTGATAAGACAAATTATCCAGTTATTGTATCCTGTGACTTTTTCCTCTTTCCTTGACTGAAACATACCTCCTGCATGTCATCCTACAAGACTAGAAATGGCCCAGGGTCAAAAGATTTTTAGTGATTGAGAGGACATATCTATTAAATAATTATAGTTTTTACAGTGATCATATATGCAGTTAAGTACCTATGACATAAGAGCATGTATTTTTTATAGTACTCTATATGCCGTAAAGCCGTTTACGACCTGTTTCATATAATATATGTTATAGACAGTTAAATTTGGCTCCACTCTCACCCTCTTTGATGTTTAACAAAGTTTTTTTTTGTGAATATCACTTACGTTTGACCGTCTATCGCAACACGGTACTGTAGTCATGAAATAATTCGCAATATTAACCAAATGTTGATGACCTTTTGATGACATTTTTTTAAATACAAGTAAGGTTGATTCAGTCAGTCTTAAGGTCTTATTACATGTAACAAACGTACAAACGTTATTTGGAATTGTCGGCAACATGTTATTCAAATACGTATTATTACTTGACACATGGGAGATGAGAAGTATAAATGATTCTCTAGGAACAACTAGTAATACATGTACTAACAATACTACCTTTATCGAAACAAGAAATATTAAAAAAAAAATCTTAAAAATATAAAAATAGACCTAAAACTACAATATCTTTAATTGCGAAGATAGCGTTACCAATTCACAACATCAATTCATTAGGAAAGCTGCCAACCGGAAAATGTCGGCTGCCCAAATGTACTACTGTAAACCATACATCCATGTCCTGTTACACGTCTTATAAAAACATGATCCCCTGCGTTCACACTGGCAAGTATAAGACCAGATGAGGGACTACGCAAAATGCAATGACCAGAACCATCAGAAATTGTCCATCCTTTTGCGGCCCCATTAATAACGATTTCATTGACAGCATATTCAGAATAATCAGCAATGAATGTCCAAGTAAACACATATATTCCGGATTCTGGTACAATATATATCCCGTCATGCTCATTGTAGCCATTTCCAGTATCTAAAACTTCAGTGTCGTATTCAATAACTTGAAAATTGTTGAAACATTTGCTCGAAGAAAGGTATACATGAAACGCAACCCTTCCTGATTGTAATATTTCCTCTGAAATGAGACATTTAAATATACATGTAGTCATTTACTGACGTTTTATATTTAATTTCTTAAGTTGTTGATATGGCTTACTTTTCGGCATTTCTGTTAATGTTTATATAATTATGATAAGCAATGACCGGATACAACATGCTGAAAGCTGTTCATCATTTTTGTCATATTAAGAATTGTGTTTAATTACTCAAATTCTATTTTTAACACATTTACATTTAAAATTTTAAAACGAGCTGATGAAAAAAATCATATGATTTGATCCTGAGCAATATACAGCTGTTGTTATAATTTTGCTAAAAACGCATTAAAATATTTGTGAAACATGATAATTTTTCAAAACGGTGTACATAGTAAGTTAAATATAAATTAATTCTATTTATTCAATTTGCTAAGCAATTTAGTGCGAAATTGTAACATGCCTTACATTATGTTATTTACCAGAGTAGTTTTATTTGCCAAATAACTAAATTAAGCCATCGAGCAACCTCCTGTTTGCGGCAAAGAAACTTTCGTGGGGAAACAGCTATCTAGCCAGCTAATAGGATATACACAGTAACGTATATAATAGGTGTCTATCAAGACGTCATCATGTTTTCTCATTTAAATAGATGCCTGTCTTTTAACATTATTAACAATTTAAACATGAATAAAGCAGAACTTACTTTTAGAAAGACTTGCAATGGCGTCCGGATTTTGATCGTTTTGAAAATTTGGCGTGTCATGCCAATCCGATGTTTCCAATTTTCTACTTTTATTTATGCTGTCAATGGTTTCATGCATTGCTGCATTTATGTGACTTTCGTAGCTCAGGTTGTTATGCATATCCTCGCCCTTTAGTCCCGAGACGTCAACTTCCAGTTCTTTTACGCGGCTTTTCAATTCTGTATTGTCATGATTCAATTCGAGATTTTCCCGTTTCAGTTCTATATTTGCTTGTTTCAATAAATCCATCTCGACTTCAAGAATTTTCAAACGTTCTTCAAAAGAACTGCCATTAGCAAATAATATGCCAGACATCAATATAAATAAACGTAGCATAACGACCAAAGAGATGGAACAGTACAATTGAAATTTTGATAATGTTAGATGTTAGTTTATATACATTTTTTACAGGGCTTATCTTGAGAACTTTAAAATGAACTAGTTTGTACTCACTGTTGATAAAACTAGAGGTAAGGATTGGTGTATAGCCACCATGTGTTTAAGTAATGTGTAGCCATGTCAAAAATGCTGAATCTTATCTTTAGTTTTAATTCATTTTCTTTTCAAAGCAAGGTAATTTAAAAAAGAACCCAACATAAGTAGCCAACACAATATAACACATATACACATGTAGGAATATCACATAAAAATGGCGTGTTATCTTACACAAGAAATGTGAACTTAGTACAGTACAACATGGATTTTACCGTACTATCATCATTTTATGTAAATGATCAATTGACAAATTATACACTATTTATCAATTTAATAAACTGTTACATTTATATTATCAGTTAAAAAGATAATGGGTATACAATATCAAAATACTACATTGATGGTAATGTTTGTTCATAATTTTGACGTTTATTTATATTTTTGTTAGAATAAATGGGCTACAGAGAATATGAAAAAACTGTTAAAGTTTCTATTTGATTGAAACACCCTTTTTATAGCAATCATGCCTTTGAATCATGTTCTCTGCTTGATCCTGATCTTGGCATTTGTACGAATAGAATTTGGTAGAATTTATCAGTCTGTTATGAAATATACCATTTAGACAATACTTTCGAATTGGTTTTCCAACACTGCTAGAAAAAAAAATAAGTAAAATTATTTGATACTGTATATTACAGCATTATTTTTATGTAAATATCAGATGGAAGCTTCTTGAATGTTTAAATGTCGATGTCTTTTGTCGGGTTAATCTAGTATATGCTTCGAATGCAGATAAAGGGTACCCTACTTACTATTCAAGAAAGTTAAGAAGGATTAGTGATTTGTCAACTATACAGCCAGCGCAAACCTCCACGTTTATGAAAGACTTTAAAGTAAGCCGTCTCGGAAGTAAATTCTACGCGCCTCCCATGATTTTTGTTTTATTTTTAGACATACTCTCAGTCATTTACACGACGCCACGAATTATATCGCAGTGGTTACAGCGTAACGGATATAGTGAAAATACAACTGGTTAGATAGAAGAGTGAATTGAGATAAATGCTTTTCTGTTTATCCTGAACTGTCATTTCGTCTGACAATTGCCTTTATCTGCTTCGTGTTAAATCGCCTTGATCTGGTTATATATAGCTTTGAGTGTCAAGGGAAATAATTTAATACAGTTCTCATCAATAAAATCTAGATATTTGTCTGAAGAATAGTTGAGGCAGGATGATTTAAGATCAAAATACTTGCTTTCTTTTATTTTAATAATGTTGAAGTGTCAATTTATATTTTATACAATTTATTTCATTTATCTTGCCAGAAGTCGTTTCCCTAGACTTGAAGCTTTATGTTCTTGAGAAACGTTATTTATTTCCCAATGGAGTTCGTATTCATTTTATACATCTAATATCATACATTTGAATATGTTACATAATCTCTACTTTGCTAATCTTATAATTTCAAAATATTGTTTAAATGTAAAGAAGTTGTAAGATACAGCATCGACTGCTGCTACCATCTCCTTCCTCAGGTGGGTGCCATATTCATTGGGCTTTTCGGCGCTTCTAACTACGCACTCCTATGGTGCGCCGACTAGAGTGATATCAAGTTCTAGCTAAGAGATGGTACGCTTGAGCTATCCCTGCTTCATCTGTCTTTAAGCGGGTACTGCCTAACTACTGGTCTGTCGACCCTCCATCCATGGGTCTTCTTTCTTGCGCCAGATACACAATTGGGCTGACAGTTAATGACAAATTTCCAAACCTCTTCTTACACTATAATTTTGCTTCAATCGGTTGACATGCTCATGGTTTGTAACGACTTTTGTATCATTGGCGGATGTAGGTAGCTAAAAATCGCAAGCTTAAAAGCTACGAATGATAATTTATCAAGGATTGATTTACATAATTTTTACGAAAATTTCTAATATTGGCAATGTCAAGCTTCTGTAGCATTTTCTTGAAAACCAGATCCTCATTTTTCTAATTTTCTAAAAGAAGTGTTCACGATTGAACAGACAGAATGAACGATATCCTTTCAGCAGCTGTAACGTTATAAAACGTATTCGCGAAGGTGGCACTTTTGGGCTTCCGTAGATTCCATATCAATTCCTCAAATTTGGATTAGGCTCCAACATTGAAACATATGCATGACATAATACATGATGTCACGTGATCAAGGTCAAGGACGAATTTCGAACACCGCTATTTCCATTTAAAGACGTGTTTGAGTGCGAATTTGACAAAATTGGAAATTTGAATTCTACCGCCAACACATGTTTCTCACCAGGTGCGTGTCACGTGACTTTTCCTGCCAAAATGTTATATTTTTCGAACAGATAAATGGTCAAGGTGGGGAACAAACACAAAGTTAACCATGTAGGAGACAGCTGCACTGCGTTTATACTTCCGTTTTTTTTTGTGTTTTTTTTTTAAGTTAGCAGCGCATACATCACCATAACAGCCTGCGCATGTCGTCACGTCCTGAAATCGCGTGCTCTGACGCGCGCTTTTATGTCACACACCACTAAATCAGAATGTCATAAGATTGAAACATCGCCAGTAACTGCCTGTACGGACTGAGAGGCGACACTTTGAGGTAGGGGGTCTCTATGAAAATGCTTGAAAAGGTGGTGGCCGCCGAAAGGATATGTCCAAATGAACATTTATACAGTTTCTTACCAATAATGAATTGGAAATCATTTCAGTAGGATGCAAGTTTTCTTAATTTTGAATAAAAATCCCTTCTAATTTCTAAGCGTTAGTTTTGAAAAATGTTCACAACCGTACAGTGTTTAAAGTTGCCATACAAGTGTAACACATGCAACCCAACTAAATTGTCATATTAACAATATAACTTTTTTTCTTAATTATTACTGCTTTCTTCACTGTTTTCATCTCGTTCAAACTTCATCATGGCACTATTAGCTCCTTTGATTTCGCAAAAATCAGCAAATATCGTATACATATAATTTCCAGCCATATTAATTTTACACTATAACGTTTTTCTTCATTATTATCGTTTTCTTCACTGCTTTCATCTTGTTTATCACAACAGATGAAAATTGTTGTTCGACACACTATTATGACCATTATCATTAAAATATATATCTTATGAAATATTTTTGTAAAATTTATCAACAGTAAAATTAGATTGGTTTCATTATCATATGCTTGATTCCCGAAAAAGTTGTAACATAGAATGTTTCTGTTATTTAACACACATGAATAATGTACGAAAACAGAATAAAATGTTCAAGAACAAAATATTATTTGGCTATTTTAAGTAGGGGTTTAGCAATTACTATATGCGTCCGCCACTCGCTTTAAGGCAATTTATTGCCTTTTATTATTTTATACAAGTATTTTGGAAGTATTCTTTTTTAAAATCCAAACAAAAGATTTCGCATCAGATATCGCTATATAGCTTAATACACTTTTAATTTTGAGATTTAGATTTTTTTCTGTAAAATGGAATTCATTTAATATTATTTATATTTATATATCAACTACTGAGAGACAATGTTTAGGATATAAGAAATGATGATGACTCAAGAAAGATATATAATTGGTATACATTATGTGTTGTACTTGAAGATAAATTCAATATTATGCAAGCTGTATCAGAAACTAAGCCTGTAATACTGAAAATATGTAATGGGCATGGCTTCCATTCTGACTTGGAACTTGGAATATAATAACTTTGGTACAAACCCTTTTCTTCTATAAGTATTCTTAATCCATTTGGGCTTTTTCGAAAGCCAGACAATAATATGATTATTCACGTTTTTGGAGTATAATTAAGTGTATGTATAACCAGATAAAACACAACAGTTACTGATATTATCATCCCGCCATAGGCATCATTTACAATTGAGAAACATGTGCCGTTTTTCAGGCAATAGCAAAACAATGTAACATTAAAGTTTCAAAATGAAAGTTGTTAAAGCAGTCGCATAAATGATCTAATGTACACTTTCTTTATTTCACTTGGTCTCGCTACCTACACCAACACTATAAACTGGTTCAATCAACATAGCGTTTGGCACTTCAAGGTAAGGACGGTTAAAGTTATAAATAAACCATTAGGATATGGAATGCTTTAAATACTGCACTCACTGATTGACATATAATTTTTGCAGGCATGAACTAATATAAGCGCTGGTATAGTTTTATATAACGATGAAAGCTTACGTGACAGGGAAGGAGATACAGTAATATTTCAGCCGATCCTAAACCTACGCTATTAAGTGGAACGTGTCGTAAAAAGAGATAATAATATTACAAACATTAATAAGATAGATCTTGGCGTGCTAAGTCATACGAAAAATATATTATGTGAAGTTCTAAGAAAGCTCTTATTTAAAAGTAAACAGATAAACCCTGTTAAGACAATTAGCTGAATAAACTTGTGTTTGAGAACTTTTGATGTATGTTATAAGCTAGATTTGTCAGCAAATATCAGCGTGGAGCTTTCAGGTTTTATTTCTCTCTGCATCGTTATGAATAAATGACAGAATGCTGTAGTCACTGGAAACTTAAAATTTTAATTCGACTTAATACAACCGTACTTTGTTAGTCTTTATTGAAATATCACGAGCAGAGATAATTGCCCTTTATCTGGTATAAAACTATTCTGATGTGCTTATAGTATAGGAAAATAGAGAAAATAAGAAAAGAAAAAGATATCAAATGATTATTCAGAAACTAATATTAAATAGGTATTAAATAATGGTTATTGTTTTGAAATTCAAAACAATACGTTCAATTAAAGTATTACTGTTAATTATGCAATTTACGTTTTAAGTTAAAATCTATTATTGAATTTCGGTCACTAATTATTTACTCAATAAGAAATAATAACTACACAATGTTCATGAACTTATTTGCAATTACAAAACACTTGAAATTGAAATTTGAAGCCAAAAACAATATATATTTTGTGCATGTTAGTTATTATTAAGCAGTTACAT